GAAATCGGTAAAAGGTAAGGTGAATACTATTGTTGTATATCACACCCGGGCATCGCACTGTTAAGTACATGTGGGAAAGCCAGCCTTTGTCAAATACTACGAAGTTATTAATTCAGTACGGTACGTAGTTGCCCATTTGCCGAAATTACATATTTACTTACCCGTTATGGTTTCAAATAGTTCATGCACCTCCAGTTAGATTTTTTTAATCAGTGAGGATATATACTCATTGTTGATTGCTGCTCATTGTAACATACTATTACGCATTCACTTTTATTTGCGTATTGAATCAAAGTGTTAACAAGTTCACCTAACATTTCACTCATACCGGTCTATATTGTATAGTCTGATTTCTCAAGTATTTGGAGCCACGAATGCTTGTAATTTTCTGACTAAACCCTTTTATTAGTTGGTTTATATACCAAATTCAGTAAAATATTTTTTAAATAAAACATGAGATATTGGATTTATTAGCTTTTCCATTCTGAATCATATAGACTGCTTTATTTATTCTTAACGAAAATTAATAAATCTCCTCTCTTTCTTCAGATGTGAAAGTTGTGGACAAACCTGTCTAAGCATTGTGAGACTCTTGCAGCACAAGAGGCAATAGCAGAAATAGTAAGTATATCAATCAAGAAATTAAGCCGACATAAGCAAAACTTTCAACTATTCGTCTAATCTCAATTTCCTATTATTTATTCACAGGACAACTATAGCAGACGGGGAGATATCAGAAGTCTGGCGACATATCAGTGACAGTGTGATTCCAAGAAATATAATGCAATTGAAAATAGAAATATGCAATAGAAAAACAACCTATGGAGGCATGCAAAGACATTTGACCCTCCGGTAGAGTTGTGTATGGCCCCCACATCCTGCAGGGCTTGAGGAAATAACTAAAAATTCCAAAGCGTAAGATTGCTTAAGCGGTCTTATTTGTAAAAAGGCACAAAACACGCCAGACATACTTAAAACAGCTTTGGAAATGAGGATTACGGGTACCTCACTGCACCTGTGTTATATTTGGTTCATCAACTTTTGGTAGTACTATAGAAGAAATTCCGGAAGGGGTATAATCATCATTCATGATAAAATACTATCATATATTTTTTGAACAACTTCAATCTAGACCAGGGATCTCAAACTCGCGGCCCCAGAGAACTTCCAGTGCGGCCCTCGATTAACAATAATTGTAATAGTATTTTGGAAGTTTTTTTTTTTTTATCTAAATGTAATAGATTTTTCAAACCTTCTAAAGTGAAATTGATTATTCACACAGAAAACAATTTACTGAAAGTAGTTTTGGAATATTGATTTTTTTTGTCCACATTTTGGCCCAATTAAGAATACACATCAAGCTAGCAAAAGAATACTTGAATAAAACACTTGAGTAATTAAATTAAACGCAAAGTACATGAAGAAGGTGGCATTTTCGAAGAAAATGGGAGTTGTAACATTTCTGCTCTTCACAAAATTCTGAAGCACATTGTTTATTTTGTCATATTTCCATCAATACAATCAAAAAACACAATAAGCTCAGCAGTCAATATGACAAATTCGAAGACCAACTTCGAACAGAAAATTTCCATGTGTTTGTATATTAATATAATTATACAACGACTTAGTTACTAAAAATCAATATCAATAATAATTCAAGCAATCCTATGCCACGCAATGTAGTGCGAAATGTCTTGTCGAAAAAATCTGTCATTTGTTTTTTTACTGATCTATACATGAAATGATAAAAGTAACTTTTTTGCATTACTGGAATTAATTAAACATTCGTAAAGATCCAGATAAACCCATGATCATGTGGCCTCGTTAGTTAGAGTTGGTACTATAAAATCATTTCAGATTGGCCTTAGTATGCTGGTGACACAAAAAAGATGCCAAACGCCAGGACAAATGTAATTATTAAAACATTGAGTTTATACTGTAGTATTTTTGTTAATTTTAGGTTCATATATTTAGATTAAGTTATTTTTAGTGTATGTATTATTCTTTCCTTATTCAAAGCTTGTTCAAAAATGATTTTGATGGTTGTACCAGAGCCATTATATAACTAGTCTGGAAGCTCTCGCTTTTTTGCATGACACCGAGTTGTTGACAGCGACATCTGGTGTTGGCGTGGGTTTTACACCCCTGCCCTGTCGTCTGCTGGACAGCCGAATCAGGCAGCTTGATGCAGGTAATGTGTGATTGTTTTCAGGCCATGTTTACACATTTCAAGTTGCGCGAAGTTGGCAAGATGTGGAAAACTGAAATAAAAAGGCAAACTATTGTTATCAAACTTAAATATAGACTGTATATGCAGGAAAGGTAGTCTAGAATCCTATCCTAAGCTACTGGTAACTCCGGTGCTGGAAACATTCGTGTTTTAGTTACCGGTACAGAGTTAATTATGGTTCCAAGCAAGCATCATGTCCCGGATGGTAAGAAAAGGGAATTTGGAATGCCTTCAAAAGAATGGACACAAAAGTTTCATCACATTTTTTTGGTATCCGCAATTTTGCCGTATTTTATTTTGGGTATCCAAAGCAAGGGCAAAGTTTATTCTTCCATTTCAGAAAAATGGTGTAGGCTACTGCTGTATGTGATGTCATGAGTTTTCACTGTTTTTTTGTGCCTTATTGTATTCTAGTGTTAGTCTTTTATTAACTCACTTATGACTTTGACATATTAATTGCTAAGTAATTTTCTATTGCATCCAGATTGTGTTTAAATATTGCTACTCTCCTAACTTTAAAAGCAAGGTTGAGAATGGAAAAGCTAGAATTTGTGCTAATAATTTCAAGGATGAAGATATTCAAAGGGCCAATAAAAAAAGTTGGATTAAGTTTGGAGCATCACCCACAAAATTGTTGCCAAGAAAATCACATGAAGTACCTCCCTGCCCACCAAGAAGAATTGTTCCCAAATATTCATCTATAAATGACTGTCCAGTGTCCACCTTCATCTCAATCTGCAATTATTAACTACAATTCCATTAATGGAATAATTTCAGCTTTTGAAAGTATCACCTTGGAAAACTGGAGAATACATTAAATCAATACATCAAAGCGACACCGGAAATAAGCCTTCTAATTTGCCAATTTGACCAAAAACAATTTTCCTTTTCTTGCGCTTTCGCTGGAGTTTATTCTTCCACAATATCATCGGCAATTTCAATCCTACTCAAAAACTTGGTTGATATCACCCCGTGTCTGGGATATGATATTGTTTCCACAAATAGTTCATAGATTCCCAGAAGTGTTCCAGAAATAGAAGATGATGGCAGAACCTCCTTGAAATTGAGGTAAGATATATTTGCATTTAGTCAGATATACTTCTATTTAGTTGTATTTTTGTTGAATTTATTTTTGGTATTGTATTTGTATCAATACAGATATCTCAGCTCTCAATGTGAAATAGCGTATTCTTATGCTGGTACACGACCCAACATCTGCTACACTTGTATGCGTCTCCATGTGCATGATCAAGACAGTGACAAGAGAAAATTCAGCCTTTTTACATCTATGATAAAAGATTAGAATGGCTTGAAAAAGATTTTCTAAAATACCTGGATATTGGGAAGAAAAGACATACAGTCGGCCATTAGTGGGAGAAGTTAATCGCCAGAAAATGCTGCTCAGTGATGCCACAAAAAATGGCTTGGGGATGGCATTTATTTCTATGGCTGCGATTATTCGTATTGTTTTGGACAGTAGTGCGAGCTATGTTTTACCACGGCGAATAAAGCAAGACCCTCTAGAGCAGGGGTCCGCAACTACTTTTCAGCGCGACCCAAAAATTCTTTTTCTAATTTCTTGCAACCCAAGCATTTGGTAAGCATAAAATTAGTTATCCATTTTAAGACTAATATTGACCCGATAAATTTTCTTGCATAAAATTATATGAAACTTGACACATAAATGAATAAAAGCGTTTATTATGACTAATGCGAGTTATAACTATAAGCTTTGTGTTTCGAGCACAACATGTCAATTCGAGGTTTAATTTGGGAGACGGTAACTCGAAGATCTCCTAGCCCCGTTCTGTATTTGTTCTTTATGTATGAAAACGTCCTTTCACATAAGTAGGTAGTTCTGAATGGCAACAGAACATTCATTGCATCAGTTAATAACTCCGGATATTCCTTTGCAACTGAAATTCAACCACGACAGACTGTCTGAATGGCAAAAGTATCTGAGCGCTTCTAAAATGTTTATTATTACGTCAAAATTTGCACTTATACTGATTGTCACCGCACCGCAGTAAATAATGGAGTGTAACACGGGGAAACATCCATAATTATAATCGGAGATTGCAGACCCCTGTCTCGTTTGCTGTAAGATTCAAGTGTAATTTCAACACAATACATTCGATTCAGATACTCATTTTTGTACCTAATTTCTTGGTTTGCGGCCCGCCTGGCCAATAAATTTCAAAAAGTGGCCCGCGACATGTTTTGATTTGGAGACCCCCGCTCTAGAGGCATATTTTGGTCACCAACGCGAGCGAGGTTCCCGTACTGGAAACCCCACCTTTAGTTTATTCACATCAAACTCCAGATCAATAGATGTTGTAAAATCGTGTAGTAGTGTTTTTGGTTCTAGAAGCTGACTTCTTTCTGCTTAAATACATGCATACAGATTTATATACTAGTACCAGTCCATTTCCTTAAATTTGTTTCTAATTTTAGTGGCTGGCTCGTCTCTGCTTTAAATAATAGTTACCATAATGTATCCAAAATTATATTTTCTTATGAATATTAAATGATGGTTTATTTGTCAGAAATGCCTCCTATTTGAGAGGCTGAATTCAAGTTGGAAAGTTCCCCCTTTCTCTCGTATAATTTTATTCAAATTTGTAAAACCGCATCTATGTTTTAAAATTAGCTATCAATTATTGGTCTGTGCATTTGTCATTTTTCTCTACCAGGTCTGTGTGATTTTTCATAGTTGAGTCAAAGCTCAGTTTTTTTTTTTGTATTTCTTATGCTAAACACACAAAGTATAAATTGTTCTGTTGGCCAATTTTTATTATAGTGTAATAATGAGATTATTTGGAAAAACAATTTTTCAAACCATCGCGAAGTCCATATGATTTGGGTCCATATTTTCTTTTCGAAACATTGTTCTGCAGTTTACAATGGATATGGGCCCTTGTTCAAATAAATCTTCTCACAGGAATGGTCAGAATAATACGCCGTTCATCTACTACCCTTTTGCATACTTGAGACCGGAATTGGCGTTCCACAGAGATTAGGAAGAGAACAAATGTTTCGGATGCTGATATGAGACCGCCTCTATTGCGCTCTTCAAAGCAATTGGGAAGATCACGCATCGAAGCTTGGTTTTGGCACCAGAAAGCACCTTCTCCACCTAGACGCTTTATTCACCATTTTTGCAATCCCCCAGCTAGGTACTCAATCACCTTTTTGTCGCCTTTGGTTATTGACGTTTGCATGAATGGCTCAGTTACTTGAAACGCTTCTTTTATATTTTTCGGTGCTGCAGTTTTGATTATGCGTTTTAGGTCCAAATGAGAGATTTCAGAATTGTTCGAATATGGCTTTTGCAATTTTTCAATGTATTTAGCTGTCATTTTACTTCTGGATTCTTCCCTAAAAATTTCCATCATATCCGCTATAACATCTGCCCATAGTGGTGATTCCTGATTTAATGTGATGTTCGAATCATTCAATGCAGTCTGCAGTGTCTTCTTGCAATCAACACTTCCGTAGTCGATTTCTACTACAGATATGCCCCATTTTCCTTCTATCTCGTCATCAAACTGTGAAATATATAAAATCGGGTCTAAAACAGAGCCTAAGTGCTTGAATAAAGCAAAACAAATGTGATGTAAAAATACTGACCAAATTTTGGGTCTCATGTACTTTCTTACCTGAATAACTTCTAGTGGGCGTGGCGTAACAATTTTTGGATATATGATTCCTGACCCCTACCTGATGACGTCATCCAAAAATTACGTCACTGCGACGTCACAATAACGAAATACAGCTTGCCAAAGTATAGCGACGGTCACCCGTAATGGCGCCTACGAGTATGTCAACAAACTCAATACGTCAGCGACCTCTCTCTTATCGGGGTCGTTGTACAGAGCTCAAAAATAAACAAGAATCACAAGCGACTAAATTGTCGCCAAGGAACGTTCACGATATCCCATTCTGACCAATTTCTGTCCAGCAATAGCTCATGTATCGTGCTACAATCTAAAATAGAGCGTTATACGATACAACTCTAACCAAGGCTTTAGACAAGCAGAAAATTCATGTTATTTTACGCAATGGTTGAAGTTGGGTGCCACACACATAAAGACTTATTATTTTATGTCCAGCAATAGCTCATGTATTGTGCTACGATCTATTAATAGGGTGATATACGATACCGCTCTGAGCTAGGCTTTAGACAAACAGAAAGAACATTTAATTCACGCAATGATTGAGGTTAGGTGCCGCAGACATAAAGACTTGTTATTTAATATCCAGAGACTGATCATGTATTGGGCCACATTTTATATATAGGACGTGGAACGCTTTCACTCTATGCAAAGCTTTAGACAAGCAGAAACCGACATATTAATTTGCCTTGGCGCAATGGATGTAGTTTCTTACCTCGATAACTTATACTTATCTTAGCGTAACAATTTTTGCATATATCATTCCTGACCCTCACCTGACTTCGTCATCCAAAAATTACGTCAATGCGATGTCCCAATAACGAAATCGAGCTTGCCCAATAATAGCGACCATAATGCAATCGTGATAAATACGCCTGTGTGTCCGCTATGGATGTAGTTTCCTACCTCAATAACTTATACTTATCTTAGCGTAACAATTATTGCATATAGTAGTCCTGACCCTCACCTGACTTCATGTTCCAAAAATTACGTCAATGCGACTTCACAATAACGAAATAGTGATTGCCTAATAATAGCGACCATAATGCAATCGTGATAAATACGCCTGTGTGTCCGCTATGGATGTAGTTTCTTACCTCAATAACTTCTAGTTAACTTAGCGAAACAATTTTTGCAGATATCATTCCTGACCCTCATCTGACTTTGTCATCCAAAAATTACGTCACTGCAACGTTACAATAACGAAATAACGCTTGCCCAATATTAGCGACGTTACTAGCAATGCCACCTATGGATGTAGTTTTTTACCTCAATAACTTATACTTATCTTAGCGTAACAATTTTTGCATATATCATTCCTGACCTTGCCCTGACTTCTTCATCTAAAAATTACGTCAATGCGAATTCACAATAACGAAATAGAGCTTGCCTAATAATAGCGACGATTACTATTAATGCCACCTATGGATGTAGTTTCTTACCTCAATAACTTCTAGTTAACTTAGCGAAACAATTTTTGCATATATCATTCCTGACCCTCACCTGACTTTGTCATCCAAAAATTACGTCACTGCAACGTCACAATAACGAAATAACGCTTGCCCAATATTAGCGACGATTACTAGCAATGCCACCTATGGATGTAGTTTCTTACCTCAATAACTTCTAGTTAACTTAGCGAAACAATTTTTGCATATAATATTCATGACCTTCACCTGACTTCGTCATCCAAAAATTACGTCACGGCAACGTCACAATAACGAAATAGAGCTTGCTCAATAATAGCGACGATTACTATTAATGCCACCTATGGATGTAGTTTCTTACCTCAATAACTTATACTTATCTTAGCGTAACAATTATTGCATATATTATTCCTGACCCTCACCTGACTTCATGTTCCAAAAATTACGTCAATGCGACTTCACAATAACGAAATAGAGCTTGCCTAATAATAGCGACCATAATGCAATCGTGATAAATACGTTTGTGTGTCCGCTATGGATGTAGTTTCTTACCTCAATACCTTCTAGTTAACTTAGCGTAACAATTTTTGCATATAATATTCATGACCTTCACCTGACTTCGTCATCCAAAAATTACGTCACTGCAACGTCACAATAACGAAATAGAGCTTGCTCAATAATAGCGACGATTACTATTAATGCCACCTATGGATGTAGTTTCTTACCTCAATAACTTATACTTATCTTAGCGTAACAATTAATGCATATATTATTCCTGACCCTCACCTGACTTCATGTTCCAAAAATTACGTCAATGCGACTTCACAATAACGAAATAGAGCTTGCCTAATAATAGCGACCATAATGCAATCGTGATAAATACGTTTGTGTGTCCGCTATGGATGTAGTTTCTTACCTCAATAACTTCTAGTTAACTTAGCGTAACAATTTTTGCATATAATATTCATGACCTTCACCTGACTTCGTCATCCAAAAATTACGTCACTGCAACGTCACAATAACGAAATAGAGCTTGCTCAATAATAGCGACGATTACTATTAATGCCACCTATGGATGTAGTTTCTTACCTCAATAACTTATACTTATCTTAGCGTAACAATTAATGCATATATTATTCCTGACCCTCACCTGACTTCATGTTCCAAAAATTACGTCAATGCGACTTCACAATAACGAAATAGAGCTTGCCTAATAATAGCGACCATAATGCAATCGTGATAAATACGCCTGTGTGTCCGCTATAGGTGTAGTTTCGTACCTCAATAACTTCTATTAGGCTTAGCGTAACAATTTTTGTATATAATATTCCTGACCCTCACCCGACTTCGTCATCCAAAAATTACGTCACTGCAACGTCACAATAACGAAATAGAGCTTGCCCAATAATAGCGACGTTATTCGTAATGGCACCTATGGATGTAGTTTCTTACCTCAATAACTTCTAGTTAACTTAGCGTAACAGTTTTCGCATATAATATTCCTGACCCCGCCCTGACTTCGTCATCAAAAAATTACGTCAATGCGAATTCACAATAACGAAATAGAGCTTGCCTAATAATAGCGACCATAATGCAATCGTGTTAAATACGCCTGTCTGTCCGCTATGGGTGTAGTTTCATACCTCAATACCTTCTATTAGGCTTTCAGACATAAATTTTTTTTATTTGTGAGTATTCATCTTGGGGTCATTGCCCATCATTTCTACATGGGTGTGGAGTTTGCAGCCTTGAGCACTTTTTTTACGGCTCGATATTTGGAAATAAAATCGATACCTTCTAGGTATTTGTTGAGCCCAGCTTTGGGTCGCGACCCATATACAGTATATGGAAATACATGTCGAAACATACGCGTGAAATAAAGAGTACTATTTCAAAATACCCGTTTTTTGTTGCAATTTACAGTACAAGCCTGCTAATGTAGTCGCCAGTGGTTCAAGTGGATATACACCCGGTGGAGAACAGTCAATTATTTGTTGGCGAGAATTGTTATGCAGCGGGATGATCACGACGACGCAGTGAGAGATAATGATATCACGAGAACAAGAATGAGAAAATTGCCACATTTTATAGAATATCCCTGGGAAAGAATGTAGTTCATTCTTATGTTCCATGCCAATGCTTTTCAAACTACCAAAGACTCTCAACACTTTCGCTTCTTCTCTTCTATAAAAATACATTGTTATTATATATTCGCATTTCCATCTGTTTGTTCGTGCTCCCAGATAACCGATCAGCGCCTCCAAGGAGGACGGGGTCCCCTTTCATGAAACCCTGTCATAAACTAAAAGAGGCGATCGTGCTTCTCTTGCCTGTTGTCATGCTGTCCTTGGAATTCAGCTACAACAAAAATTTCACGAAAACGGATTTTTAAATTTTATGATTTTAATAATATTCTCAACAATGAATGATATACGGGTGGTAAAATGCCAAGTTATTCCAACAACATGATCATGCACCTTTGACAGAGCCCCAAGAGCTCTAACTACAAATATCAAAAATGTGAGGCTAAAATAGTCACACTACAACATTGTCAAATGTGCTGTATTTACGATAGATAACAGGTTTACCAAAAAGAATTACATGCAAAATGGTAAAATAAAGATCAATTCAGCAATATCTACTTGGTGATATTCATCTGTTGATGATTTTATGTGTTTGTTTCGGAAGTTTAATAACAGAAGTAATTGTGGTTGTTGGGGATGTTTTAAAAAAGGTTGCATGGAAAAAAGTTTTCACAAAATGTCAAGGTTTGATAGTAGTAGAGAAGTAGAAAAAATAATCCATGTTTGTTTTTTCATTTGATAACCACGCCACAGAACTTCCCCGATAAGTATACGCAGCAATTGCGAGAGGCAGAAATGCTAAGATAGGATTTCATCGCATTACAAACCAATATTAGCAATTCTTATATATATTCGCGCATTCCCAGCTGAACAGCGTGAAAAAGATTGTACCCATCTACACACTTTAAGAACTATGTCAGATGAGCGTCATATTATCGAATATCAGTAAAGGAATAGTGCAAAGGGAAAAGACATATAAGGCGGAACTTTCAGTAGTATGCAATCAAATAATCTTATTGTAGAATATATATTTAAAAACATTTCGTCACGCCAACTGCAGTCCGAAACTTTTTGTCTCTGGCTGAGCTTAGATACCAATTGGCACTCATGTAAACTGGTAAGACTGTAAGAGGCACGCGATGGAGCAGATACATCCCCCAGCTGTCATTTGAGTGGGTACTGCTGTTTTTATTGCAGATGTTACTGATCTTTTTGTATTAAAGATTTACTGGCATCACCGATTTAGGGAGGTTGGAAACCAACCCGCAATATTACAAAAACTTACTTTCAACACGCGGTTTGAATGAATGAAAAAGCTGAAACTAGTATTCTTTAGAACAGCATACAAATTCTATGGAATGAA